TGGATGATCACCGTGCTGAAGGTTTTTCGGATAGCTTCGACTCCGAACCAGAAGTCAACAACCTACCCCCAGTAGCTCCAAACTGTAATCCCCGTCTGACATTTTAAGGTCCCACCCCCATGTGGGCAATAACTTTAAACCGATGGAGCGATGAGCAGGGTCAGCCTGTACCTTTCAACGGAGACCGAAGCTTCTACAACATAAGCGAAGGAGGATCAACAAACCGATTCTTGCCCATCATGGTCCGTAGGATTGCCAGGAACACCGAACAAGGTCAAGCAGCCATCGGCAGAGTCGTGGAAATTGAGGCCAACTCCAGCCTTAACACTGTCTATATCCGCCAACTGGAAGAAGCCATGGATAGGACTAGGAGGACCAATGAGGCTCTGCAACAACAGTTAGTTGCATCCCGAGCCAAAGTTAGGGAACTCCGAGCACGTCAGAGGTTTCAGGAGAGACATCTTTAGGAAGTTGTTCGTCAACTGGCTGATCTTAAGGTTCGCCCAATGAGTACCCATCACCAGTAGAAGATATCAACTTATCTTTCCCTTTTGTTTAAAGAATAGCCTTTCTCTTTCTATGCTCGGTAGAGCACTTGTTTGTAAACATCCCTAACTTTGAAAGTACTCTAATTAGGCCTCTAGGCTGCCAACATTTTTCCCTTATGGTTTGATGTAAGACCTACCGTTAGGTTGCTTTTCCCGAATTCATTTTACATCATTAATACCAGTAATATTGGCAGCTACACACTTTGAGAGAAAGTATGAAGTTTTGAGCTTTCTACTCTATTGCTATGATTCTGTCTGATAACTGAACTATGTTAGTTTGGTCTGTGAAACTCTCACAACTTATCTACAATCGATTTTCACTATTATCTTCATCTTTATAAATTTCCAGTAAAAGATGCCTCCCCACAAGCGTCCGAATAGAGGAAGACCTGCAACTCAAGCTCCACCTCCACCACCTCCTCCTCCACAGATCGATCCTGTGATATTTCAAATAGTTGTAACTGCAGCTGTAACAGCCACTATGGCTCAAATGAATTCCGGTGATGCCAGTGGAGCTGGAATAGGCATCAACTCCAAACACGGTGAAATTCCCTCACGTACACAGGGGTGTACTTATAAAGATTTTATGAACTACAAACCGACATTTTTCAATGGGACCGGAGGAATCCTTGCTTTGTCCCAATGGATTGAAAGGACTGAAGTTGTCTTCAAAATGTGCTCATGCCCCGAAGAGAGCAAATTAAAGTTTGCTACTGCCACTTTCACTGAAAGGGCCTTAACATGGTTGAATGGCCATGTCAAATCACTCTCTTTGGTAACAGCCAACGCCATGGATTAGGACACATTGAAGGAACTGATGATGAATGAGTACTACCCTAGGGGCGAAGTTCAGAAACTCGAGGAAGAACTTTGGAATCTCAAGATGAAGGGGACTGACATAATAGCTTATACTGCTCGGTTCTATGACCTGGTAGCTATGTGTCCTAACATGATACCTTCAGAAAGCAAGAAGATAGAACGATATATCTGGGGATTAGTGCCCCCGTATCGAGGGAACGTGTTAGCATCACATCCTACGACCTTTGATAGCGCCAAGGAATTGGCCCAGAGGTTAATTGATCATGAAACTCCCTCCATCCCATCAACAACCACGACGATTACCACTGCACCACCCAAATCAACTGACAACAAGAGGAAGCGTTGGGATCAGAAGAAGGGCAAGAAAACTCAATCCTCCTCCAAAAACCAACAGATCATGGCCGTCCATGCTGCCACCACTCCTGCTACCCCTGTGCCAGCCAAATCCTATGTTGGAAACTTACCCGAGTGTCCCAAATGCCCCTTCCATCACAACGGCCCTTGCAGTGAATTGCACTGCACCAACTGCGACCGGAAGAGCCATACCGTCCAGTTTTGCTAATTCCAACCCAAACCTATCTCCCAAGTCCCAAGCTCTGGAGTGAGCCAGGCCTGCTATGGCAGCAGTGAAGTTGGCCATTTCAAGAAAAACTGTCTGAAGGTCGGGAATACGGGAGGAACAGGAAGACTACTCGCTATTGGCCACAATGAAGCATTGGTCCGTTAAATCCTCATAACTTCTTCATCCGACGTCCGTTTTCGCCCATCTTTTTCTCGTTACGCTACTCTTAACGAGATCTTCGATTCTCATTCAGGTCGTGTCGGCTAAAAACCACTCGATCTAATATTCGAATTTCGGGTTGTACACTGCTAATCCGAAACTTTGAAAAATCATAACTTCATACGAAGTCAGATTTGGGCATTCTTTTTATCGATGTTCTCAGTTTAACATATTCTACGACTTTCGTTTAGATCGCTAAGGTTAAATCTCGCTCTATCGTAAATTCACTATTTATGTTTCCCGGTATCGTGCCGGTTCCGTCGCTAAACTTCAACAGATCATAACTTCTTCGTTATAACTCAGATTTCGGCGTTCTTTATATGTACAGAAACCTCGTGACATATAGTACAACTTGGTTCAGATTATTTATTCTAAATATTCTTTTGTCAAAAAGTCATTTTCGACCCCTATTGCCTCTAAATTGACTAGCCTGGATCTACGGGCGTTACACTACCAATGATTCAATTAAGAACTTCATTATGGTAGCCCAACTGTCAACTACATTAAAACCAAAAGGAAACAAAGTCCAACTAGAAAGATAAGAAAGAGATGGTATTCCATAAGTTGGAACAACTATGGTGTAACGCACCAATCCTACCTTTCTGAATGAACAGAAAACTTGTTCGTACACAACGACATGTACATATTGGATTGAGGTGGACATAGGTGAACTGAGACGAGGTTTGCTTATGCTTTTGGTTGAATGACATAAACGAGAAATTTATTGTCATCATGATGTGTGAGATTCGCTAACATTGTAATAAGATTTACAAGGTAGAAAATGTCTTGAGCCGAAAAGAACGTACCAGACCTGCTGAGTACAGGTGTTTGGTTCGATTAAACCACAACTCAAAGGACCTTCGAGATTCTTAGACAGAATTTGGTCCTAATATTTACATCAAGTTATCTCGAAAACTAAACGATGTGCACAACACTTTTTCATACGTCAAATCTCAAGGAGTGTCGGTCCGATAACACACTTGTTATCTCTGTTTCAATGAAGTGAGCTAGGAAGCCGTGCGAATATTTCATAATTGGGAAAGTACATGTGATTAAATTGTATATAAAACTCGATGATCTTTAAAATATTTGATTTGGTCGTATTCCATATTCCTTTATTTAGTGGTGAATTGTGGTAAAGTCATTTAATGGATCAATTATCTAATCTAGAGCTAAGTGGCTTAAATCGACTTTAAACAAATCATGTATGGATCAAGCTAAAAGAAATCATCACCAATTATTTTATAATATTTATCTACACGTTGAATTTCGGGATGAAATTCCTTTCAACAAGGGGATAATGTAACGATTGGTAAAAATTGGTCAGAGTTCGACGGTCAAACCACCACGAACCGCTTTGTATTAATAACTAATTGTGTGTAATTTTATGTTTGTAATGTATACTAAATATATCGTCTTTAAAATTTCTTTTAGAACATCCCAAACTGCTTAAACCATCTATCATTAAAGATTGAATAAAAAACCAACAAAAATTAATTCTATTTGTGGCGTTAAAAATAAAAAATTTACATTAAACATATTTTAGAGTTATGGATAATAAATTTGAGTAGATTACGTTCTCCTGACTTCATGGATATAAAGAATGTCCAAAACAGATATCATATGAGAAAGTTACGTCTCTTTAAAGTTACAAAAATCAATACTTATCTGATTTTCCTGAAACAAACCGTGCGCTACTTCGTTTGGGATAGCTACAAGTCTCATAAGTTATTTCTGAACATGTTTTTGACTTCAGACTATAATATATTATTTTATTATAAGTTTATAATATTTTTAATCTTGACCAAAATCATATTCGAAAAATCTGTCGAATCCGATCTTATTAATTGCGAAACTTTAAACACTAATTCACGGAGTTTGGTATATCGGAATTGAATTCCATCCGCGTTTCTGAAATCACAACGACCAAGGCAATCAACAGAGAATTGCGTAAAAGTATTATGGAGTCGGGATCGATGGCACGAGAATCGAGATTCCGAAATTGCATCATAAAATAAATAAACAAATAAAATACACCATTTGATTTTACATCAAATATCTCTTGAAAATATAATATTGTACAACAAATATATTAAAATCCAATAAAATCTTGTAAAATAAGATTTTTTTTTATTTTTTTTTATTTTATATATATATATATATATTTCTTTACACTCATACGTTTCCCCCCATCCATTTGACATTTGACCTACCAAAAAAACCCCTCGTTGTAGAACCAGTGAAGATCCATCACCGGCGGTGGCAGTCCCAATCCTTCAGCCCCTCTCAGCCAGCTACAGATCGTACATCACACCACTCCACCATAGACTACTCTCTGTTGCTTGTTCCTTCGTGTTTGTTACCTGCAACGAGAAAGAAAAATAGTTGAAAGAAAACCACTGGAGGTGAAGGTGCGATTCCGATCACTAAGAAAAGTAAAACCCACATCCCCCTCTGTTATTCCTTCTTCGCCTCCTTCGATTGCAGCCAAGAACAACCAAGAGGGCAGTAGCCCATTTCTTCTTCGTGTTTCCTTCTGCCTGCCAAGCAATCAAACCCAAACTCTTCAAAAACCCCCCATCGATTTTATATCAATACAATTAAAACCATACATGTTGTTGATCCCGTTCGTTTTTTTCTGCTGAAGAAGAATCACCCAAACGCCCTAGCTCCCATGATCGATGACTGTCCTGCTAGCCATGGCTGCTTCCATTCATCGTCTTCTATTTGGAAAGTCCAGAAATTGAAGACCCATTTTGACTTCTACCTTAGTTCTTCTACACAAGCGGTCAAAGAACGGAGGCGCTCCTTCTTCTTCATGATCGGTCGACGACCGAGGCAAATTACAGGCATCAGAGGCGCTCCATCTTCTTCGGGAGATGACAACCTCCATCATGCCTCGCAGCCATCTCGTTTTCCTTCGCAACTCCTTCGAAGACTGAAGACGAGCATCCCCACTGCTTCGTCTCTTTCTTCTCGTCCGAGGTCACAGCCGCCTCGCAGCTTCGATCATTCTTCTTCTTCAGTCTAGTCGAACCCCGGAGGCCGCCACCGATTGCGAGTAGAGCAACGAACCATCGTGCTCCCTTCTGGTCGCTGATTGCCCCTTCGCGTCTACAATCGACTTCCTTCGTGACCTCATTTGGGAACGATTCATATCCTCTACTCGATCAAAATTTTGAAAAGATATAAAAAAAACCAAAAATATTATTCGGATGAAAACATTTAATTAATAGTCAAGTTTATTCAAATTTAACTTTTAATATTTAAAGTGGTGTAAAAATGAAAGGCAAATGTATTAATGTATTTTTATATTAATTATAAAAAATATAACTTAATTATTAAGTTATGGATTTTCTTTGTAATAAATAACACGATCGAGTTCACGACTTAAGACTCGTTATCTACGACATATTTAGATTGGATTAATTGCGTGAATTATAAATATCATCGAATTGTTGGTTTCACGTTGGTTGAAACCTAAAAAACATTAAATAAGTAGTCGTTATGCTGCCCAAATTTCGTCACAACAGATAATAAAAGTTTGGAAATGTTTTAAGTCTTACAAATCTCAAATATCAAAAGAGTTCAATCAATAATAAATCCTAAACATTAAGAATTATAGGTGTTCGATATACTTATAATGGAAATTTTAGGATTATGATGCCAAGACTCATTGTTAGGATCCATCACACCTACGAGACGTTCTATATGAGTTATGTTAGTTCTAAAAGCTTTATGTGTTAGGATCATTTTCTAAGCTGCACGGGCTATGTTTTTCACAATTCTAAGACTGAACATCTTAGTGGAAATTCCTCTGTGTCATAACCGTTAATTCGTATTGGAACGAGGAACGCCAGGTATAAGTTCAGATCACATACTTATATGGGTTGACAGCCCGCCGCCGATTGCTAGCTACAACCATCAGTTGACGAGTCGAGTTTGGGCGTTGGCGTTTCCTACATGATAAAGTCAATGAGGATGAGGAAACTTGGGTGTGGACTTTCAGCACTAAAACTTGTTAGTTCTGGTGTAGAGGTGTTCGTCACAGTTTGGTTATAACCCCATCAAAGATCCCGGATTTGTCTTTTCACCTTATAGAATCAATATTGGGTTTATACAGGGTTTTCGTTCAGTGATCCTAGTTGAAAGAGACTGTAGGTAGTGAGATAGCTTGTGACTCAAAAGATAAGTGTCAATACCAGAAATTAAGTCATATAATACTTAATTAATATCATGACCCAACCGAACGAGGTTTATTAACTTACACTGAATAAGTTATTTATATAAACCTTTGTTGTCACACGAAAACACAATATTTATGTGGGAAGAGTTTGCCCTACTGGTTAAGTGTCGGTTTCTAAATCAAGTAAAGTAACACTTAATTAATACCACGACACAGATTTACAAAATCTATGAATTTTATATATAAACTATACAAATGATTGTGCAAGGTTTCAAGAGTAAATTCAGATATTTTAAACTTTCATAAAGATTGATTTGGCTTTTTTTATATAAATTAGTATTCAAAGTATTTATATAAAAAACATTTTTGGTCATAAGAACCGTAAAGATTTGTTATAAATTTGATTTACATATATATTCAGCAAATGGTTATTTTTAGATTTAAGCAAACGATATATCTTAATGAGTCCAAATACACTTTTAAAACTCGTTTTAGTTTTATACATTCGATAAAAAGATATGTATTTATACAAGATGGTCAACTAGAGAAATCTTATAAAACACTTTTGGTTTATAAAAATACTATGTGTCAAAACCTGTAGAACACACTAACAGTTTTTGTTGACGCATTTTAAATACAAGTATTCTCAGGTTATTTAGCAGGCTGGATGTGTTCGCTCAGAAGACTTTCCATTATTTTGCTACACCTTTGTAAATGTCGATTGTTAGGCATGTGTCTCGATTTAGCAATGGTCTTGTCAATTTAATTTCTATTTCATTAATAACAAAGGTTATATTCGCACCGTTCAAAAACTATTAATTTACGTCGCGCACCTCGGCGTTTCTGCCGGCGGCCGAGGGTATGACCGATTGATATTAGAGTTACTGGCTATAGCGAACTAGTAGCTTTTTATGAAAGCGCGACTATAGTCTAGGGCTTACTCCCTTAGGTTAGGTATGTTCCTTAACCTACAAATATAGGGTTATATATATATATATATATATATATATATATATATATATAAACTCGAACCCTCGAATGCCAATACAATGCAAGGTTTTAGGTAAAACACCTAAGCTAAGTTGGTTGTACATGAACCGAACAACAACTAGACGTAGACTGAACACATATGTTTAATTATGGTCAGACCGATGCCCAATCAAGCTTGGATTCGGTTGTTGGTAGACTAAAACGCTTGAAATCCAGAATATTTAAAGAAATCATAGTTCGAAATGCAGAGGAACTCTCAAAAAATTTAGTAAACACTTATGAATACTTGACAATTATTTACCCCAAATACTCATGAAACTATAAGTATCATAAGCATAAATCAAGCCCGAAGTTTTACTCGGAATACTAATTACTCAACTATAACATCCTACGAATACTTTTGTTAGACATCTCACGAATACCTTGTAAGAATACGCACATTTATGAATCATTTCGAATTCAGATTAGGTATTCAATCACTATGCTTCTTTCTGTTGTGAACAGTCTAACTTATGTTTGAACCATCTAATTTTAAAGGAAGACCACCTACACTTTTAAGGATGCGGCCTTTACCTGGTGAAACTACTATACGAAAATCATAAGTATCAACTCCGCTAATGCCACGACTTGAGAATAACTAAAGATGATGCTCATGAAAGGGAGATACAAAAATAAGAACAAGCACTAGTTAAAGAAAATCTTGTTATAAAGATGGTGAAACTACCCAGTGATGAAGAGCTAGGAGGCGACAACTCAATTAAGTGCAATGATAATTGGAACAAGGAATAAAAACCAACAACCATCAGTAGTAACTGGTGCGTTTCTCATTAACCACTTGTATGCTAAAGTACTTATGATCCATATATACATAGAAATCTTTATGAACCCTAGACTTAAACCAATTATGAGTCATGAAACCCAGTAGTTTGGAGAAAACCTCCATAGTTGAGACAACTAGTGAGCTCTCAGAAATCCACTTGTGAAATTTTACAAATTTCATTCTAACACATACACAATCATTCTTTCACGTCAATCTCATGCGTAAGTCACCGAAAGTCCTATATCTTTGTTTTTATGATACATTTTCATTTGTTTCACTTTAAGTCGTTATACGACCCTCCCCCCTTTAAATAATAAAGTGACCATGACCGATCGATCTTTATTTATAGACTTTATGTCAATACCGAGTGAAAACTTCGACATTATCATATGTATGAATCGACTACCACCCCATTGTGTCTAGATTTTACAACCAGAAAATTGTACGACCAAAATCTACCGACGACAAAACCATGGTCATTCATGATGATAAGCCGGAGAAAACCTAAAATTTCATTCCTACCCTAAAAATCAAACATTGGACTGTTGTGAACTTCTTAGCTCACCATGATTTAAGCAAATGTGAAGAATTTAATCAAATGTGAATGATCTGATCAAATGTGGAGGTTCAAGTGAAGACTTCTTCCTAAGGAATGAATGCTGGAATTTTAACAACAATAGAATTTATGTTAGCTACTACCATTGATTCCATCAGGAACTTCTGTAATGCTCCAATTCTTTGGTATCATGATTGTTCAATTTAAATTTCATGTTTTAAGACTTACTCGACGAGTAGGAGCTGGCAGAGGAAACCCCTAAATTTCAGGGTTTTTGCACCCTATATATTGGACCGTTAGCGCCTCCCACTGTCCCTTATCACCCCTTGAGATCCATAAGCCCTAAATTTCGTGTGTGTGAGCTTTGTGAGTGTTTTGGAGCTTTGGGAAGTGATTTAGTGAAGGAAACTTGTAGATTAAGATTCTAGCATCAAGGAAATTCGTGTAGATCTTGAATCCATCTCAGTTTGGGCACGTTTTGGAGGTAACCAGTTGTTACTTTGATCTCTTTCTTCTTAAAACCTCTCATGGATGGAGTTAGGGTTTTCTTTAGCATATTCATGAAGGGAGTGTGGTGTATGAGATAGATCTAAAGTTGAAACTTCAGATCCGAACCTCCCTTGGGTCCTAAGCTCATAAAGTTCCTTGTATAGCCATTACGTAAGAGTTCGTAAGCTTATCAATAGAACATTTCTCATTGGTTACTATGAAGTGCGCACTCTTAGTGAAGCGATCAACGACCATCCAAATCATGTCATGACCCTTCTTTGTTCTGGGCAGTTTAGTGTCAAAATCCATTGCGATGTCTTCCCATTTACCCATGGGTACATGAAAAGGTTCTAAACTCCCATATGGTTTCTGATGTTGTGTCTTAACCCTCGCACAAGTCACACACTCGGATACATACTTCGGAACATCAAGCTTCATCGTCGGCCACCAGTAGTAGGGTTTTAGGTCCCTATACATTTTTCTCAGAAGCTGCTTCTTGAGCTTTCTTTATACTCTCCACAATTATCGAGAAAACTTCTATTCTCAACGTTCTTGGCAATTTTCTTTCAAGATTGAATTTCTGACTGAGAGTATCAGCAACAACATTAGCTTTACCAGGGTGGTAAAGTATCTCACAGTCGTAATCCTTGAGTAATTCTAGCCAACGTCGTTGCCTCATATTCAATTCCTTCTGATTAAAGAGATATTGGAGACTCTTATGATCAGTGGAAAGTTTGTACTTCGTGCCATAGAGGCAATACCTCCATATTTTCAGAGCGAAAACTACCGCTGCCAACACCAAATCATGAGTCAGGTAGTTCTTTTCATGCTCCTTCAACTGTTGAGACCCATATGCTATTACCTTTTCTCTTTGGGTCAAAACACAACCCAATCAACCCCTACACGCATCGCTGTAGACATCGAAGTCTTCCACTCCATCCGGTAGAGATAAAATCGGTGCCTCACATAGCTTCTTCTTTAGCAAGTCAAACGCTTCTTTGTGCTTATCACTCCATGAATAAGCGGCTCCTTTGTGGGTCAAAGCTGTTAATGGATTAGCGATCGAGGAAAAGCCTTGGATAAACCTTCGGTAATATCCGGCTAATCCTAAAAAGCTTCGGATCTCTGTGGGACTTTTCGGTTACTCTCACTTCGTCACAGCCTCAATCTTTGCTGGATCAACCATTATCCCATCTTGGTTGACCACATGACCCAAGAATTGGACTTCTCGAATCCAAAAATCACATTTAGAGAACTTTGCATAAAGATTCTCCATCTTCAAAACTTCTAACACTTCTCGCAAGTGTCTGCCATGCTCCTCTTCGCTCTTCGAGTAAATTAGAATGTCATCTATGAACATTATCACAGATTTATCAAGGAATGGATTGCGGACCCTGTTCATTAAATCCATGAACGCTGCTAGAGCATTGGTTAGTCCAAACGACATAACCAAGAATTCATAATGTCCATACCTTGTTCTGAACGCAGTCTTCTCGACATCCTGCTCTCTCACTTTTAGCTGATGATATCCTGATCTTAGATCGATCTTCGAGAAATAGCTCGAACCTTGCAATTGATCAAACATGTCATCAATTCTTGGCAACAGATATCTATTCTTTATTGTTACCTTGTTCAGCTCTTTGTAATCGATACACATTCTCATACTTCCATCTTTCTTCTTCACGAATAACACCAGAGCTCCCCATGGTGATGAACTAGGTCTAATGAAACCTTTGTCCAATAACTCCTGAAGTTGCATCATCAACTCCTTCATCTCCAATCAGTGCTAATCAATAAGGTGATTTTGCTATTGGCGTGGTTCCTGGTAACAAGTCTATTCTGAACTCCACTTGTCTATCAGGTGGTAATCCAGGAAGATCTTCGGGAAACATTTCCGGATAATCACACACCACTGGAATACTCTACATCACATTCTTTTCCTTCTTAGCATCGATCACGAATGCTAAATATGATGTACACTATAAATGACTCTTTCCCTAGCGGGTTTACTTTTACTATCTTCTTTATGCACTATATTTCAGCATCATTGCCGCTAAGCCAATCCATTCCTAGAACAATGTCGAAATCATTTAGTTCTATAGGCAATAATTCCTCGTGGAACTTATTCCCATTCAAGTTAATGAAGATATTTTTCATGCGAAGGCTAATACGTACAAACTTGCCACTAGAAACTTCGACTAATAAGGCGTTATCTAGTCTATCGACAGGCAAAGCTAGTTTTCTACCAAACTCATGCGAAATAAAGGAGTAGTTGGCTCCATAATCAAACAGAATTTAAGTAGGTAATTCGTTTACAAGAAAGGTACCTGAAGCGACATCCACTTCATCCTTCACAGCCTCAAGTGTCATCTGAAAGGCTCTTACTTTCGGCTTTGGGGGAATGTTGGGCTTAGCTGCCTCCTTCTTCTTCGGATAGTCTTTCAAAATGTGCCCTTCCTCATTACAACCAAAGCACATCCTCTTGTTGGATGGACACTCGTTGGCATAATGCCCCGTTTTTCCACACTTATAGCAAGTCACTTCCTCACTACATTTCCCAAAGTGCTTTTTCTTGCACTTCTCGCACCATTTCGCTTCGCCTCCTTTTCCTCCAAACTTCTTCGAAGTAGACTTCAAAAATTTACTTTTCTTACTGGAACCTGAAGTTCCTTCAAATTTTATCTTTTTTCCAACTTCAACCTTGTTGGCGGTTCTTCCCTTGATCATGGCCTCAACAGACTTGGCAGCCCAAATAGCGACCTCTAGAGTAGGTGCCTGACGTACTGGTACCGCGTACTTGTTGGGTTTTAGCCATAAGAACTTTCCTATGTGCACATGCAAAGCCCTATTGCTTGGATCTAGGCTTTCTATCAAACA